TTGATAGCCTTCCCTTGGGTACCATTACACCATACTTAAAGATCTACTCCCAGGAGAGTCATTAGGCTCCATGGGGTCAGGCTGGCTGGGTGCCTAGCAACTAGGACACAGGTTACAGATGTCCAAATTTCAGAGTGGCCCTGAGAAGGAAGGGTACATCTCTTTCCATTATTGGTATGGGGGCACTCAGGTATCATCATAAAGGCAGGTTGGAAAAGGAAATCTTCCAAACAGCAGTTCAGAGTAGGAATAAAGAAAGCTATCTAGTTAACTCCCCAAGGCCCATAACAACGTTAGAAAGTTTACATAAATAGGAAACTAGAACTGAATAAGTAGTACAAGTATCACAGTATCACATTCTTTCTCTCACAGTCCCTCTTCCAATTTCAAAGGCTTTGTCCTGTGTTCTCATAGGTCTGACAAGGGTTACATAGTTTTCAGGGGCTTTGCTTTGCCCACTGCCCTGTTTGCTTGGATTTGAAGCACTCTGACCTGCTTCTGTCTCTCTTTAAACTATCTAGACTTCCCCTAGGGTTGTGAGCTTCGTCGTTAAAATTATCAAATAGAGTGAGCATGACTTTAGCCCATGTCTTTTTCCTATCTAGCTCTCCTTTGTCCTCTATTTTACCACAGTTATTGAACATCAAACAATGTTGACCAATTGGCTTAATTCAGTTTGTGGGCCAAGTTAAATGTTGGACCTTTTTCTAATATCTGGAGCTGACTAATAAAGTAGTGTGTCCAGATACTCTGATCTTTTCTAATTTAGGGTCTAAATTAGAATCTCTGCACAGTACCTCTTCAAGCCAAAGCTGAAAAGCAACTAGGTCTTCATCCAGGCCCTGACTAATAGACACACTTATCACAGTTCATAGGTATAGACTTCACCTGTTACACACCAGCTAAAATGGCCTTGATGTATGACTTTTGTTTGGCTGCTCCAACCCCTGTGTTATCATCCCACTCGGGCTCCTGTTAGAACTCAAATAATGTGGCATTTGGCTGGTTATCGGAGTGTGAAGCTGAAAATTCTTTAGAATTAGCCTGTTTTGTAGTCTTTATAATCTTTTTCCTTTTTATTGCTTTGCAATAAGAGATGAGGATGAATTGAACATCTCACCAGGTCAAATCAAAAGCTATTGTTAAAGTATAGAGGCCTTCAGCAAACTTTTCAGAATTATCAGGAATCTACCAAATGTTTTTCTTGCAGTGCAGTGTAATTGAAAAAGGAACTAGTAGCCAGATTGTATCATGCATGCCTACCACTTCTGGGAGTGGCACAATAAAGGGAGGCCTAGACAATGAGTTCCTTGAGTTCAGGGCCCCATGGTAGGTACATCTACCTACCTAGTATGGCGTTGATGTAGGAAATGGCCTTTATCTCCTGAGGGTCCAGACTGGACAGGTTGTGGAGAAGATAGCCTATGCGCCGAAGGTGCATCAGCTCCTAAGAGTTGAGGACTCCTTGGATTCTCTGCAGAAGGGTATCCTCTGCAGCATCAGCTCCAGGAGGTTGAAAGCTTCTTGGGTACAGATCAAGGTTTGAACACAAGGCACCTCTGATAACTTTCTGTTCCTTACAGTAAAGATATAGTTGAAATATGGTATTATATTTTAGTCTGTTAGTGGGTGACCATGTCTTGCTTTCCCCAAGTGAATACATAGGTCAGTTTTTTTTTATTACACAGAAATATAAGGTGATCTCTTTGAGGGTCTTAGCATGAAATTCTTCCAAATAGTTAAGAATGGAGTTCAAAGGAATAAATGATATTGTTCTCATCTACAGATTAAAGGAGTAAAAATTCAGTTCTAGGATTCTGCCAGGCCTGTCCCTGGGTTAATAGGTAGTAGTGGGGACCTGACAAGGCATCTGCTGATAACCTGAGTCTTTCAGCCCCAGAGACATGACTTGGTAAGACTGAGTTTCTCAGGATCTAGTAGGCTTATTTCTGGGTCAGTCCCATTAGTGTGGACTTGGGAGGGCATCTTGTGGAGAGCCTCTCATACTGTCTGCTAGTAGAGCTGAATCCTTTGGGGCTGGATCTCTCCAGTCTTAAATGAGCATCAATTTTTCTTCCTTTGGACCCATTGAATTTCCTTCTATAATTGTAACTCATCTTCAAGGTAAAGACATACCTTACTGGCTGAATATCCCTTAGCCAATTAAAAAGGAATAAGAGACAACCCTAGAGAAATCTCATCTCACTAGTTCAAGCTACAAAGCCAACATCTGGGGACAGAATCTCAAAACAAAAGCTAGGATTAGTGTAAATTCAATCAGCAAATACTACACACATTTTTGAGAGGAACATAAACTAAAAGCCACAGTTATCACAAAGAAAACAAAACAAAGTAAACAGGAAAGAAAGCCATAATCAGCAGACTGCTTCAGGAAGTGACAGCTCTAGGTGGGTTTTAGGACACAGAGAAGATTGAGCCAGCCAGAGTGGCAACTGTGGGAAGAAGTAGAAGACAGAGTTTTAAAACGGACAAATTTTCTCTTCTCGTGTGGGAAAGCATCATACCTCTTAACTGGTTTCCCTAGTTATCCAGAACCACAACTAAACAAATAAGATACTCTAACAGTGGAATTCACTGTTCAGAGTTAAATGAAAGGATGGGGAGTGGCCCAGATCCTTTGTTCCTAGCTGTACTCTCACTCTGTCATTTTTCATGTTGTGCCTCAAGGAACTCGCAATTTCCAAATATGAAAGTGTTTCTTGGAATTCTTACTTCTGAAATTCAGACAGCAAGTGGTGAAAAGCCAGTGTTTGTGAAGAGGTCACATGTAGGAGCCATCGCCGACCTGTTTGCGAGCTCTCGTTCTGTGTCTCCAGCCCAGGTGAGCCTAAGGAGCCTGACGCTACCCTCAGCCATGCACTATCCAGCTAAATCAAGTTTATCAACCTAAATAAGAGGGAAATTATCTTCAGAAACTATTGTTTAAAGTCACGAAGTTTGGGGGTAGTTTATAATCAAGCAAAACACAACTCCAAACAAACAAACAAACAAAACAATTTACAACAGCATCAATAGAAAGTGAACAAAAATACTTAGGAAAAAATTCCATTAAATTTCTAGAGTATGCTGAGAAATTAAAGAGAAATACTGAAGTCTTGTTTATTTGTTTTCTTTCTGTAGGTATCCAGTAAATATCTTAGACATAAGGAAGCTTTTCTTTGTTGTATTCTCAGTAGTGAGCTAACCTTTGTACTTCCTATTTCTGGGATCTTTCAAGATAAATAGATTTTTTTTCTCTAAATTCAGCCCACAAAACAGTTTGTTCCTACCTCTTTGCCCCAAGAAGATTCCCTTGGAATGAATACTGAAATATTGCTAGTGTGTCTTCCATCCAATATGATCAAATGACAATCCAGGGCTGTGTCTAAACTGCAGAAGCACTTTATAAAGGCCCGTTCCCTTCACAAGCCACATTCCATTCCTAATCTTACTGGGAACTCAGTCAACTATTCAGTGTTGGAGCAGGAAATACCATCAGCTACCAATACCCAAAAAACGTCCCCTGATGCTCCACCTGCCACACATGCTGCCACTTTCCAACTTACCAGGTTTTTATTCCATTTCTGTGCCAAAACCATTGGAAAATACATTATTCAATTTCTTGTAGGAGTTTTTCTTTTTCATTTAAGTTCTAGAGTTACAGACTTCCAACCCTGCTCAGAAGATATTTTTAGCCTTAATTTTCATGTAAGAAAAACTGATTTGCAGAGCCTGAAATCTGTGCTCTTCCTGAAGTCTTTCTGCAGTTCACTTCCACTGTGACTGTGCTCACCAATCTATGTTTAGTGCTGCACATTTCCCATTAGATGCCAAGATTATCGAGTAAAGTACAGCTCTCATTAACTGTTATGTGCCAGGAAATAGCACAGTCCTTAGCTGATAATCAGTGTTTGTAAAATGTTATTTAAATTTTTCCACTAGAAATTGATCTTAGTCTAAAGTATAAAGATGTTGGAAGCAATTCCCAGATATTCTATAGGTCCCATGACATCATATCACTAAGATAAGTCAGTGAAAACTCAACTTGAAATTCAGACATCTACAGCTGAGAACTTTAGGCCCAGTCTTTGAAATGTTTGCAGTTTAGTGTTCACATGTACAAAATAGTTTTAGTCCACCTGCTTCTTCAAAAATGAGCCACATCTATTAAAATATTTATTTATATTAATTCAATTTAATATTAATTTATTGATTTAATTTTAGATTATAATTAATTTATATTACTAGAATGCCATTAATATTATAAGGTATTAAAAGTCATTTATTATTTTTATTAAAAGGGAACATATAAGAAAAGTAAAAGGCTAAATGAATATAATAAAAATATTAAAATTCTGGCAATAATCCTGAGGAAAAGTTAAGAAATTTTCCAAAGAGAAGGAGAGTGCTTAAAGCCCAGCGATGTCCTCTCTGCTGCCTGAGGCTGGAAACCAGCAGGGTCAAGCCATCTGCTAACCCAGAGCTGCCTCTGATGTCACAGCTAGCTGACTTCCTCTTCCCTCCAGTATAGGATCTGAGCTGTCTACTAAGCCTTTTTTTAAAAACAGGAAACAGTAAAAAATAGCAGTAAATTAGTTTCAAAACAGGCCAGTAGGAGAGTAACAATAATCAACAACACATCGTGTATTGTTATATTCACAGCAGTTTTTCAGAGTGCAAAATATAGGCATGAAACATTGTCTAGAAAATTACTAGCACAAAACTTTCCCTCAATGAATCAAGAGAAACCAGTTGTATAAACTATCTTAACTGTCGTGTGTGTGTGTGTGTGTGTGTGTGTGTGTATACACATATATGATTTTTCCTTTTCCCTTGTTTCCTATCTCCTTCCTCCCATCACAGTTTTTCTTCTCTCTGGAACAGTTTCTTCCCTATTCACAGTATCCACTGCAGATTTCGGGTCTTGTTTACTCTTTCAGGTTCTCACACTAGTGAAACAATATGGTGTTGACAGTGTAGGTCTGGTTTGCTTCTCTTACCTGTGTGGCCTCAGGCTGATGCTGTAATGTAGCTCTTCAAACCATGGCAAGGATGCCTTCTGGTAATTATTCAGAGTCCTGAAAACTAAAGCATCAGAAAGGGAAGCTATTAGATGGCTCTTTATCGAGCTTCATAATTTTCAGATGAACGATCACATAGCTAAATAGTACAATAAGACATCATTCATTTGCCTGCCAGTAACAGTTATTACATCTGGATTGGCCATGTATGGTCTTATGATGCTTTAGAAGAATGTTAGATGGCTGCTTTACCTCAAGTCTAGTTGTAGACAAATTTTATTAACCTTCTAGGGCTTCCTTTGTGTTGACATATGAAGTCAAGAGACCTTTAATAATATCAAAAATGTTTTGCTGAAGACAAATACATATAAGTCAAATAATAAGTCTAAGTCTACTCTAATTTTCCACTGCCTCAAACAGAACTACTTGACTCCAAAAGTATAGCACTATTCCTAAGTTTTCACTTCCCTGCCTCTGATTGTATTCACTCCTGTCATGTAATTAAAATGACATCAATTCCTCTCCACCCATGCAGTTTATTAATTGCTGAATGGGATACATCCATTGCCACATTCAACTCATCACAGAACTTGTCTCTAGTTCATAGCACTGAGGAACAAGAAACACAGCAGTGTTAAGTAATATATTTAAAGCATACTGCTAATGGCGGAAGGAGGACTTAAACCACAGACTGTTTAAAATCGAGGCTCTTTCCATGTTGTTCTTCTTCTCAAGATCAAAGTCTACCTCAGACACAAAGTCTTCTGTGACTGGGCAGTATCAGCAACCTCACAGCTCTTTCCTTCCCACATACGGACCTCTTCATGTACCCAGCCTCATAACAACTATCAGCTTCTAATGGTCTCTTCCACTAACCCTTGGAATTCTTAGAATTCATGAAATATGATATGACTTCCTCTTATATTGTCAGCATTTGCTGCTCATCACTCATCATGGTTTTTTCCATCACAATACAAATTTTTAAGAGGAAAAAAATCTACCTTAGCATGCTATTGGTCTAACTTTAGGTATGTCAAATAGTGTTGTATATATAATAGTTATACAAAATCAGAATTAAAAGTGGATTTAGAAAAACATCTATTTGAAAGATGAAGAAACAAGGGCATAAAGAGGCCAAGATACTAGATTCTCATAGAAATTTTCTGACACTGAGATCTGTAAACTGACCAGCATTTTTCCTCACTAAAGGAAGAGTGAGGATTTATTTCCCAAACCAAGATGCTTTTAAGAACCAAAAGGAAGAGTATTAAAAATTACTTTCAGACAGAGTGCATCAGCTAGGATGTATCATCACCTAATTATTTCTTTCTGTGATTACCAATGGCAACAATAGCAGCTAATGCATGTACTAAGCACTTATGGTATATCCAGGTACAGTGCAATATACATAGCTATAAATATAAATATGCATGTTAAATAACTTGTTTAATATTCATAACAATACCATTCATTATACATAAAACAAAGCTAAAGTGCAGAGTGGTTGAGTGACCTACCTAAAGTTACCCACTGATATATGTTGGGGCTAACATTGAATCAAAACCATGGCTCAAAAGCTCATGTTCTTAACCATCATAAAACAGAAAGTATAAATACTTGGCGCCTACTGATCTCTAGCTAAGGGCTTTTCCCATGTTTTTCTGCCCCTACTGTGGCAGAGTGGGGAAAGTCCAGAAGGAAGAAGCAAAAGAAATGGAGTTCAATAGCTACTGGACTCAGTGGTTTATTCTGTTCTTTTGCTTCTCAAATGCCCATCTTTAAGGGAATTACTTTACCTAGAGGTTACTATTACCTTGAGAACCTCCATCAAGAGGATTGATTGATACAGATTTACTTCAGGATTTTAGTACAGTCTATCACCTGGAAGGTACAAAGGGAGAGTACTCACCCCGGTCTGCATCTGAGGACCTTGATAACAACAGATCAATGTATTTGTCAGCTTTTTTATCACTGAGACATATTACCTGGCACTCACAATTTAAAAGAGGAAAGGTTTAATTCAAAAAGAAATTCATGGAATGAAAAGATGGAAAACAATACTCCATGTGACAGGAACCAAGAAAAAAGCAGAGGTAGCTATTCTATTTGCAGACAAAGTAAATTTCAAGCCAAGACTGATTAAGAGAGATAAAGAAGGTCCTTACATCCTCCTAAAGGGAATAATCCAAGAGGAAGATAATAATCATAAATATATATGCAACAAATACCAGAGTACATGACTATATAAAACAATTATGAATGGGCATGAAAAATCAAACAAGCCCTAACACAATTGTACAGGGAGATCTCAATATCCACACTCACAAACGGACAGATGAACTAGACAGAAATCAATAATGAAATATTAGAATTAAATTAAAACTTTAGAACAAATGGGCTGAGTAGAAATCTATACAGTGCTCCACTTTACAACATCAGAATCCACATTCTTGAGGCACGGAATCCCACGGTTTCCTGCAGGGACCAGCCAGTGGGGCCTAGGCACAGAACCCATTCCCCGTCTAGGGGAACTCTCTCCCTCACTTGGAACAACACTTGAAGCTCAAAAACATAGGAAAATGACAAAATGAAAGACCAAAATGCAACATCAAATATCCAGCCCATCCCAAGAAAGCCTAGGAACCACAGGCATAGAAGAAAACACATGCCACATACCTGAAATACCTGAAATAATAGTGACTGAAATAAAGAAGCATCTCTGGGAAGCCTTAAAGGAATTCAAACTACAAATAATCTCTCACATAAAAGAATGATGAAAGAAATGAAGGAGATGCTGAACATATCTAAAGAAGACACAGTTAAAAAATTGGAGGACCTAAACAAAAAGATAGAATCCCTGGATGAACAATATAAGAAACAAAGAGAATACATAAAGCAGATGCAAAGATATATACAAGAATTTCAAAACTCCATTGAAAGTTGTAAAAACCACCTCAATGAATGATAGAATCTCAGACCTTGAAGACAAGATTGAAGCCAGTGAACAGGAAAAAAAAGATCTTTTAACACTAACAAGAAATCAGGAAATAACAATTCAACACCTGCAAGATGATGCAAAGCGGAACAACGTAAGGTTGATAGGGATAAATGAAAAAGAAGGGGACAACATAAAAGATGTCAAGAGGATATTTAGAAAAGTAATAGCTGAACATTTCCCAAACACGAGATTGGAAACTGATATCAAGATCAATGAAGCATATAGAACTCCAAATAGCCATAACCAAAATAAATCTACACCCAGACATATTGTCTTAGTTACTTTATGCTCATCGCTGAGATAAAATACCTGATGCCCAAGTTGGGAAAGGAAAAATTTATTTCTTACAGTTTTTGGAGGTTTCAGTCCACACTCAGTTGGCTCCAAGACAGGCAGGCATGGCTGGGCTGCAGTTCATGGCGGCCGCCAACAACAAACTCGAACAAGCAAAGAGAAAGACACACCTTCTTCCTGCCATTACATCACATCCGGGCTCCACCCCTATGTGGGTGGAGCACTGACACCATCAATCCAAGCACTATACAATGAACCATCACAAATGAACAATGCAAACTCATGAGGCCTGGGGGACACAAACATAAACCATGACACATATGATAATAACCATCTCAGAAAATGAACAAAAGAATAGAATATTAAAGACTGTCAGAGAGAAAAGACAGATCACCTATAAAGGAAAACCTATCAGAATCACAGCAGAATTCTCAGCACAAACAATAAAGTCACGAAGAGCACGGGGTGATGTATTTCAGATCCTAAAGCAAAATGATTTCCAACGTAGGCTGATGTACCCTGAAAAACTGTCCTTCAAATATGATGGAGAAATAAGATACTTCCATGACAAAGATCAGCTGAAAAACTCTATGATCACCAAGCCAACAATGCAAAGAATACTGAAAGACAGCCTAGATACATTTAGGAAAAAACCACTAAACAAAGCAGACAGTTGAACAGAGCAGAAAGATAAACATGCAACAGCAGAAAGATAATATGTCAATGATAAACCAATTTATAACAGTTCTTACTATTAATGTAAATGGTCTCAATACACCAATTAAAAGAAACAGACTGGCAGAATGGATCAAGAAACAAAATCCAACCATATGCTGTCTACAAGAAACCCATCTAACCCAAAAGGATACTCACAGACTAAAAGTCAAGGGATGAAAAACAATACTTCATGCAACAGGAACCCCCAAAAAAGCGGGGGTAGCTATTCTGTTTGCAGACAATCTGAATTTCAAGCCAGTAATGATCAGAAGGTCACTACATACTGGTTAGGGGAAAACTTCAAGAGGAAGACATAACTATCTTAATATATATGCACCAAACTCCAGAGCACCCAGTTATATAAAACAAGTACTAACAGAAATGAAAAACCAAATTAGCAGTAACATAATTCTAACAGGAGATTTTAACACACCATTGACACCAATGGACAGATCAACCAGACAGAAAGTCAGCAAAGAAATAAAAGAACTGAATCACACCTGTGAACAAATGGACTTAATAGACATATACAGAGTATACCACCAACAACAACAGAATACACATTCTTCTCAGCAGTACATGGGTCATCTTCTAAAACAGACCATATATTAATTCACAGGACATATTTAAATAAATGCAAAAGGGTCTAAATTATCCCTTGCATGCTATTGAAACATAGCACTATGAAATTAGAAATTAATGATAAAAGATACTGCAAAAATCCCACAAACACATGGAAACTGAATAACACACTCTTGAGTAATCAGTGGGTCACAGAGGAAATTAAAGAAGAAATTAAACAATTCATACAAACAAATGAAAACCCAAATACAACTTACCAGAATCTGTGGGATGCAATGAAAGCTGTAAAATTTATTGCACTGAGTTCCCACATTAGGAAAACAGAACAAATACAAATAAATAACCTGATGTTACACCTCAGACATTTAGAAAAAGAAGAGCAAGTCAAGCCCAAGGCCAAAAGAAGAGAAGAAATTATAAAAATCAGAGCAGAAATCAATACAATAGAGATAAAAAAAATCCAAAAAATCAAC